TGTTTTAGCCAATTTTGAGTAGATTTGTGTGTATTATCAACAACAGCTCTTTTTTTTAATGCTGTAATTTGTTCTAATGAAGGTTCTGAATAAACTTTACATTCCTTTAAATAAAATAAATAAATAAATAATACTTTAATAAATTATAATAAATAATAATTATAGAATACTTACTTTTTGTTTTTTAATTTCTTTGGATATTTTTGTAAAATAAAAAATAAAAACAAAAATAAAAAATTTTTTATAAAGTTTTATAAAGTTTATAATTATGTCATAATTAATAAAAAGTTTATTATATAATATATTAGTTAAAGATTGCTAATACTATAATACTGTTATTAGATAAAAAATAAAAAATAACTATAAATTATAACATAACAAGTTTATATACTATTCGAAAACCTTTTTTCTTCTAATGAACAAAATATTTCATATTAGTTTATTAATTTAAAATAATTATTTTTAATAAATTAAAATTATATAAATACTGACCTTGTATAGAAATTATGAAGCTTAAATATTTGCTTATATAACATGCTCTAGAGTTAACAACATCAATATTCTCTTAGGTTTTTCTTTTTTCTACTAAATATTTTCAATATTTCTTAGCAAAAACAAAGCTCTCTTTGTTTTCTTTATCTAAAAGCCATTTATTAAACTGTTGTCTAACTTCCATTATGCTTGATCAATTATCTGAATCATTACTTTAACATTTTTTTATTAAATTTTTAAAAACCAGTAGCATATCTTTTATAATTTCAGGTCTCGACTCATTGATAATGTCCTATACAAGTAACTTGTCATGAAATTTATCCTTGAATAGTTGATGGCCTAATATAAATTCACATATTAGCATTGAATAAACCAAAGTTTTGTAAAAACCTCCAGTGTTAAATAAGGCATCACTTTACATATTTCTTCTTAATCAGAAATCAAATCAATTTTATATAACTCCAGATTGGCTATTCTAATAAGTCTTAAGCTTCTTGAAAACTTATTTTTGCACTGTAATTTATTCACATTTTATTTTTTTCTCTAACAACTTATGTATAGGCTTTGCAATTATTAAAAAGTTCTATATAAATTATTAATAGTATTATACAAGTCCAATAAATTCTTAAAGTTGTCTTAAATTCTTTGATATTGGAAATTTTTTCACTTTGATTATCTTTTTTTCATTAGGCTAAACCCTATTTCATCCTACTACATGTTCTAAAAATCGAATCTCTCTTTTGAATAGCTAATATTATTCTCTGTTAAACTTTAATCCTATTTGATTAATTTTTTCAAATACTTTTTATATATGATTCACATGTTCTTCAAATATTGTTGAGTATATATTGATGTCATCAAGGTAAACTATTACAAATTTATCCATGTACTTATATAAAATTTGATCCATTGTTCTCTGAAATATTGCTGACATATATATAAGTTAAAAAGCATTATATTAAATACATAAGTTTTCTGTTTTATAATAAATACTGTTTTCTTCTTGTCTATTTCTCCTATTTTAATCTACCAGTAATCATTAGTTAAATCTAAACTAGAAATCAATTTGCTTTTTCAAATGCTTCTAACAAATTATCAATTCTTAGTAAAAGGTAAGAATTTTTTTAATAATACATTTAATTTCTAATAGTCTATATATAGGCATAACTTTTTTTTCTTCAGAACTATTACTATTGATGACATCCATGGGCTTTTGATCTTTTTGATTAATTTTTTCTTCTTTATTTTCCAAATCTCTCCTTTTAAAAATTCTTGTTTATTAAAAGCCACTCTATAAGTATACTGCTTAATTAGTTTCATATCTTCTGTATCAATCTTATACTGCATTTTATTAGTTTGTTCTAACTGATCCAATTCTTTTACAAAAGCTTTCCTATACTTATTCAATACTTGAACAGCTTGATCTCGTTGGTCTTTACTAATGATTTCAGTTGTCATTAACTTTTTTGCTATTTCTTTCAAAGGTGGCACTGGTTGTTTGATTTCTTTGGATATAGGAATCTCCTTAATTATTGTTATGTATACTGCTGAGCTATACTTATCTATCCAGGAGTTAGTATATAAGTCCTTTTGATTATCAATCAAATAATTTTTTATTTCATCCAATTCTTTTTACTTATAGTTGTCAAAATAGTTCTCTTCTTTATAATTTTCTTCTTTTTTTTTCAGTTCTTTTACTTTTACTTTCTTCTTTTGATAAATAGATAACTTAATACTTTTTCTATTATAGTTAATAAATAACTTTTGCTTATTAAAGTATAATAAGTACACAATTTCTTAAACTAACTCATTCCTAATAGTATTATTACATTAACTAATTTTATAATATGAAAATCTGTATATATAGTAATTTCTCTTAGTTCTAGTATTATATCTCTAATTTTTCTTAATATTCTTTCTTTTGTCCCATTAGTGATAACTACAATGATACTGAATGGTTCAATAATCCTTAATCCAAGCTTAATAAGTAGCTTCTTTGATATAATGCTCATTGTAACTCTAGAATTTAATACTGTTACAACCGGTATTTTTTGAATATGTATATTATATCTGATTGCTAAGATTCATTGCAGTTGATTATTCACATAACTAATTTCTGTAGATGGTATAATTGGTCATTTCAATACTTGTGCCAGATTCTGTTGTTGTTTCAGAATCTGCAATAACTGAGTATATATAACATTAGCTTATTAATTTAACAGGTCTTTAGCAATATTATATAAAGATACTTGGTATATAACTAATAGTCCTCTTTATTACTTGATTAGTGATATGATATTTTTAGGTTTCTTTTTTGTGAATTTTTCTGTAATTTTTATTTCTATTAATTATATTGGTTATGTATGTTTCTCTTATCTCTATGATTGTAATTGCTCATTTTGTTTTTTTTTTTTTTTTTAATCCCACAATCAGGTTGGTGTCGTTTATTTATTAAATCATAAAGAACCATTACATGCATGAAAATACATGAAAAGTACAAATTTTCCTGACCCAACTCACCCGTTTTTAGCTGAAGCCTCTAGATGTAATTTATAGGGGTGATGTATTGTTCCCCTAAAGGATGGAATTAAGATCTCAAATTTCTAATAGGATTAGTACCTGTAGATCACCTCCACAGTCACAACCATAAATTCAAATTGTGTCACCCTCTCTTGTAGAAACTACACAAGGGGAAAAAGGAATAAAAAAGGAATTTTTTGACAAAGAGAAAAGAAAAAAAGCTATTATCTATTCTAACTATCATTGAAAAGGTTATCTCA